ATGGTGCGTTGATCTGTACTGTTAGGCCACTGTCGCTTTCCTGAAGCACGGTCCGGCGAGTTAGGGTTCGTGCACCTACGTCTCCGGTAGGTTTATAGCTCTAATTCTCCCCATGATGGTATGCGAGAGGCCCCAATGGTTCGTAGGAGTTAAATTCGTTGCACAGCTAGGAGTGTGGAAAGAAAAACCCCTCGCAACAACCCCCAAATGTAGTAAGCTCGCATTCGGCTGCGACTACGCAAGTTTTCTGGCTCAGCTGTATGGTATACCTAAATTGATCGACGGGAAATCCCGATTCTTACCTTGAAATAAGCCTAGCATATAAAAAAGTATCACCAACTCCTGCCCAAATATATAAGCCCAAAAAATATCCGGAACAGAGCTGCTTCGCCCTGACCCCCTAAGGTGAGTCATTGCCTCAGTGTAGTGCACGACACTGCAATAGGCCCTTGAGTAGAGTAATGCGGGTATAACTCTGAGAGGGGTGGAGGTACTTATAAATGTTAGAAATTAGGATAATTCTGAGTAGAAAGGAGTCGGTACTACCATTGTTCAGGGAACAGGGTACCTAGGTAGGTGTAGCTCGGTTGGTCCCGTAGGTTAGCTGACGGCAGCGGTAGTATGGGTGCGGAGTAGAGGTTGCCATATCTGCGAATTAGGGCTTTCAGTAGCTTAATATTCAGAAGAGGGAATATGCATTATATAAGGAAGGGAAATCGTGAATCTTACGTAGAGAAAGCAGCATATGTCCCTAGAGCGGACCTGCTGTGCAGGGGCCGATCGCGTCAGCCCTGCTTTGGGAAAGCTAGGGAAGAGTTGTTTCCTCTCGGCTTTGTTTCTCCCTGTTAGGCTTCCAAAGGGCGGCTGAACCCAGTGGAAGTCACCGGTATCAGAACTGTATTCCTTACAGTAAGTCCTATTAATCTAGGGATTCCTCCCTGGGTGGGCATATAACTCGAACATGTTTGGGATTTTTTTTTAACGAGCTGGATGGGGCAAAAAGGCCCAGAAAGCTAGAGATTTGTCGATAGCATTAGGGGTTTAAGTGGACCTGATAAAAGTAGTGCAGGCTGACGCTCCATTGTACTACTCTCAGCGGCCCAGCGAATCCCACTGTCGGAGTGGTCTGTTGGAGCCCATAGCCTGCTGGCCTTATTTCATCAATAAATGCGCTAACTTTTCACTACTGGTGTGCTATATCATTTGCTTCCACAGAATAGGCTGCTAGCGCTAGAGGTTTCACAGGTTGAACGATTGTTGTGCCTCTCAACTGTTGGCGGAGTCTGCCCAGCCGCTGCAGCCCCGCGTGCCTTGTTGACACTAGAGTTACCTCGCCTGTCACACTTACTGCTTTCTGCTTGCAAATCGATAGTTGATTTATGGAATTTCAGATAAGGTACCTAGCTCATGTTGGCGGCAAGCTTACCGCCGCAGAGGAAAAGGTGGCCTTCGCGTGAGCTTGCGATACAATAATTTCCTCTTCTGGTTCGCTAGTCCTGATAGAAGTAGTGCAGGCAGATTGAAGTCACTTTGGAAATATCGTGTCCAATGGTGCCAGTGTAGTTATACCATACAGACGAGCCAGCAGAACGCACCTAATGTCGCCCCAACTGGGCACTGTAGTGCCTAGAACCATCTGCCTGCACATCAAGAATACTTCCGTCTACCCCCTAAGCTATTGACAAATCGGTTGGTTTCTGAGCCTGTTTTGGCCCGTTCAGCCCTTTTAAATGGGTTTAAATTAAAAGTTATATGGCCACCCAGGGAGGAACCCCTAGGTTAATAAGACTGACTGGACTGATTGTAAACAATACAGTTCTGATCCCTGTAACCTCCACTGGGTTCAGCGGCTACGTCAAAAACTACCGGGGGGAAACCAAGCAGAGAGGAACCAACGCCTCCCCAAAAGAAGCTTTCCTAAGAAAGGGCCGACGCGACGCGATCGGCCCCTACACAGCGGGTCCGCCCTAGGCGCTTCCTCTACTACGAATTTACGATTTCCCCTTCATTATATAACGCATATTCCCTAAAAACCCTAATTCGCCAATGACGGTCAATGGCGGTGTCTATTCCACACCCATAATACCACCGCCGTCAGTTAACCCACTGGATCAACCGAGCTATACCTCCCTAGGTACCGTGTGATAGCGGATGGCCTACCTGTCCCTGCACATCGTTCCCGGCAGTATTGCTCTGCGGGCTGGCCTGAATGCCGCAGCGTCGCCATGTGTCAGGTAGTCGGAGCCCTGATCCAGACAAAAGGGCTGGGGAGGCTAACTCCTACCCGGGCAGTGGCGTATGGCGGTCCGGACCGTACAGTGGGGTGGATTATCCACCCCACTGGCTGGTGGACCCTTAGCATGGTAAGCACATATTAAACTGTGAACACTATCTGAACTTTCGAGTGTTCGATCGGACTGCGTTTTGCCAACGCGTCATAACGCTCTAGCGTATATCCTACGCCATAGGGGACCTCCTACGCCACCCCGTCTAGTGGCCACCAGAGCCTACTGTATTTCGTGCTGTGTGATGGAGGGACGACAGTCCAGGGTGGTTGTTGCTGCCCAATCGACCCTGGTATTGTGCCACAACTACTTTACTGCCCCGCCTGAGGTGGAGAATTGCAGGGTTTACAGCATTTCTTTGCGCTATTATTGGGAGGCCTTTGGAAGTCACAAGCAAAATGACAAAAGGATAAAATATGAGGTGGCTCGTCGCTGGGACGACGAAAACGACCTGGGCCCCGGAAGATTGCGTTCGCCAAAGCCGCGGTCAAGGCACTCACCTCTGGTGATACACTGTTCCAGGTGGAGGGGATGACGCCGGCCGACTACCAGGAGATGTTGTTACGCGTGGAGCCGAGGCACATCGCCCGCCCCAGCTGGGAATACTTCGACTTTACCGGACCGGTGTGTATCCTGTATTCGTGGCTGGCAACTTTGACATGGTTCCCTGAAGCCACGCTTACTGAACTGTTCGAAGTCAACGACCTGCGGCTGGCCCCAGTCACCAACCTCGACGACTCCGCGGCGCTGTGAACACTATCTGAACTTTCGAGTGTCCGATCGGACTGTGTTTTGCCAGCGCTTCATAGCGCTCCAGCGTATACTCCGCCTACGCCATAGGGGACCTCCTACGCCAACCCGTCAGTGCTTGTACTGCACATGGTTATTGCGTACAGCCCTCGTCAGCGTCCATATTCCCTTGGGATCCAAAGAAAAACACATGCACTAATGGCGTGGACAGGCTTTCCCCTGTATGCGTACAGGTTCCCCTTCAAGCTAGTTTAGCTCCGGGTAGTAGATCGGGTTATCGCCCGAGCATGGGAACTTCTTCGCATGCACGCCTGCTCCCCTGCAGCTGCAATCCACGTCCTGTGTGTGCAAATCAGTGGGCTCCGCCAATGCAATGCATTCAAATGCTTCGAACAAGCGTCTGTGAATCATATGAGGAAATCAGCATCATCCAAGGTCGGGCGAATCCGAGTTTCGCATTCTTCTACCTGGCAGTCAGAATGCCAGTGGCGTCTTGCGCTGAGTAGTGACAGTTAGTAAATGCCCCATACACCTAAGTAGAAGAAGCAGGGCTTGCCCTTGTTACTCTCACTGCGGTGCCGTATGCCGTGTACTCAACATGCATGCTTTGGAGTCCGGAAGTTACCAGTCGCACACTCACAACGGCGTTTGCGCCAGCAGCCGCGGCGGCTTCAGCGAGGCGTTGCAGTGCAGACGTTCGTGTTTCTTTCAGCAGGTCGTGCAGCAACTGCTGCTCGCCGCCGAGCTGCTGCTGTAGCTGCTGTTTCCAAATTTCCAATACGCTTCGCCCGCGCACGGCTGACCCCTCAACCAAGCCTGAAGATCAGGGTGCACGCACTCTATAACGAATATTGCCCTCATTGTAAGAGCTACAAATGAGGGTATTATGCTTCAGAGTATCCATGGAAGCTGCAGCGCCCTCAGCCGAATAGGCTTCCTGGCTGGCTCGCAGCTTTTGGTCAGCTACCGACGTAGGCACCCTTCAGTCGGTTGTTATGTCCTGAAGCTCTTAGGCACAAGTTAAAGCTAGTAATAAAAAATTTCACAACCTTACCTTTGTACTGAACATTGGAATGGCCAGGAATTGCAGGAGATGTCGAGAGATGTATTTCACTTCCGTCAACAACAAAGCGCAATGGCTTTGGTGGCCTGTCGGTTTCTTCCTCTGGACTCCTTCCTGCTACAGCTTGAGCAGCCTCTAACCACTTCTTGCGTGACTCTCGAGTTGCTTGCCCGACGGCGGAAAAAATATGCATACACGTGTTAGCGATACAGGGGAGAGTTGGTAATTTGTGTTCAGACCCAAGCACTGCCCTGGTTAGTAGCTGGCGCTGCGTGAGATTTGCTCGAGCAGGCGAATGGTGAGGAGGAAAGAAGGCGCCTATCCTTTCAGCTTTGATAGAGGCGTAGGCGGAACCCAGGAATTTTGGGCCGGGCTGTCTCAGCTGCCCCAGCCTACAGACAAAACAGTGAGCCCGGTCTATGGGCGAGTTATTTAGTCCTTGCATCTGCACCATCTTCGTCAAGGGCGCTCCTAGTAACCGCCGCATTTGCATTCAGGAACCGTGAGCTTCTGTCGCTGACTGAGAAAACGCAGGAGAGTTCACTGCCGAAAACGAAGTGAACTCGGGAGGCGACCAGAGCGCAGGTGGAAGCACCATAGATTAAAGAAGCATACTACCTCAGGATCTAAGTGAATCTCGCCCTATTTCATAGGAAAGGTAGTTGCTTGCTGCCTACCACTCGTCGCCTAATAGCAACGCATTTATGCCGGTTCACCAGGTACTGCCCATGATTCTTCTAGAGGACACTGCACTAAAACCATATGGAAACGTAAAACGTTGAAGAAATTTGACTTTCTAGACCCCTCTAGTAGCGGATCCATACGTCTCGAAGGCTTGTTACCCGCCTCCTGTAGTGATCGCTGGGCCGACAAGCCCCACTGCAACGCTTGAGTAACGAGGAGAGTTGACAGACTGCTGTCTCTAGCATAGTGGTTCGGTTCACATGAAACTGATGACTTTCGAGTTGTAACAAGCTTTAGCTATGATGTTCCTGCTCGCAGGTGTCACTGGAAACACGGAGGTACCCTGTTATGAGCGCATGTGTTGGGTGCAGAGGAAGGTTTGTTACAATCAGCATCTAGTTCAAATTACATCACGCCTTTGCTAGAGGAGTTATACTCTGTAAATAGGTTCTGTTGTAGAGAATGCATGGATTGAGATACCCGGGTTACAGCGTCGTCGGGTTCACATTACCGCAATGCAGCACGGTCGTCTACACATGTCTGTCGGGAGTTAGGTCAGGTACTTCCAGTTGTATACATGCTGCTTACTGAGATCCATGTAAATGCTCAGCAATTGTGTATAGCGTTATTGCGTACATAAAAGGGCCACTGCGGTACACTGGCTTCTGCGGTTGTCTTGCAACAAAGCTTGCAACAAGGAGCGTTGCAGCTCATGACAGCCCACGTCTCCACACCACAGATAGGCCCTTGGAAACTTGATCATAGGATGCCTGTAGACTGGATGGGATGCGTAGTGCAGTTGGGAAGCTCTTAACATTGTTTGCTTTATTGCGGCCCACGGGGTACTGTATCAGTGCAGATACATTGAGTTTACCTTCATGAAACTGTTTACGCTGCCCTTGACCGACAATGTACTTGCCAGTTTGGCGGAGTCAACAGCTGATTCTTCGCTTGACGTCGTTAAAGGGTTTACAGTTCCCAGTGCATCCGCAAAACGTGGACAAGACTAGAATCATACCACCATTTGCAAACTAGAGTGCAGATGCATGTCATCTGGGCTCTTGATTGCACCTTTCCAAATTGAAGCGGCATGGCACAATCTCATTTTCTTGGGAGCAGTCGCTGGGGTCCCGACGGGTATATGCGTTGCTGTTGTGCATATTTCAGTCAGAATGTGCAAGACCATCTGCAGAATCTGCTACGTGGCACGTAACGGCTATGAGAGAACTTTTTACAAGAAGCGCAAAGTGGTTTATTGTTAGTTCCATTTGCTACGTCTTAGCTTTCAGTGTCAGCGCAACACAACTTAAGCCAGATCGGGCTGAGATAGAACATATTCGGTGTTGCGCCAGCCCTGGTTTCTTGGTTTCTTGTTTGTGTGTTTCTTCACACAAACATTCGGGAGTCCCAAGGCCTCGGGTTTCAGTATTGTAAATTTATCCTCTATACTTAGGTTGGCCAGCATCGCCCCTAAAGAATCCAATCAAAAAATGAAACAAGCTATTTGGATAGTAACGAAAACCAGTGCAGCCGGAAGCGCTGTGTCGTCAGACACATACGATCACCTCATCATCCCTCGATTTCGAAAGACCCTGCTTTCTAACAGCCCATGACGACGAAACAACGGATGAACGCTTAAATATAACAACTAATTCCCTTGCTGCTAGCCTTTTTTAACGGAAAGGGAGCACAGGTATCCGATATGTGAGGACCTCAACGCGGTGTGCACAACAAACGTATCAAGCACGTCCTGGATCGTATCAGAGGGCTGTTGTGAGCAACGATGAAGTCACCATACTTGCGATGAGCACTCCTTAAATGCAACTAGCATGTCTCCAGTCTTCAGACATCCTAAGCGCAGGCGCTCAAGGCCTGGAGCTGCAGGAGAGCAGGTGCAACGCACCTTGCAACACCTCTAGGTGCGAGCCAGACACTTAAGCAACCACAAACAAGCCCTTTTGGTTGTACTCATGAGCACTGTTGGCAACTGTTGAAGAATTCCGCTTGCGTACAGCTTGTTCGCTAGTGCCGCGTAAGGAAAGGGTTCATATGGCCACTTCCGGACTACGGCCGGCTACTTTCTCAGTTGTGAACTCATATATTGTTGCCACTCACTCCAGTCTACGGCCAACATTGAGGAGTCTGGTTATGGATGCCATCCAATGCTGTCATCTACTAACAACCCCCTCACTGAATACAGTTGGCAGCTGTGCGAACTACAGAAGTACTGCTGCAGTATTAACCAATTGAAGGTAATACTGTAGAACTATCAACATTTCCCCATTCTCTACTTTTCAACTGTTGAGTACTCAACACAAATCTATAGCTCAATTGTTGAAAATAAAGTGAATAACTGGCGCATCCAAGCCCCTGCGTTAGCAAGGGCGCATATTATGCAGCCCGCCGGAAGGAGCCACCTTTGCCATTCTAACCACCATTAAGGAGACCCCAATTCCTACCAGTTCCTTTGTAGAATGTATAATTAATTGAACAAGAGAGTTGTAAAGTACGAAGACAACGGACGGTCTTCTTGAGCGGCATTGACGGTCTATGCACACGAGGTCATCCAGCCCCAAGCAACGTAATCAGTGTCTTCTGAGAATTTTGCACGTGTAGTTGCAAGAAACAAAGCGGTTTGAGCTTATCTGTATCTTTGTATACTTCTCAAGAGTTGCTTTGGGCGAGTTCCTGGAGTACCGGACACACTGCAGGTGCCGGCAGTACAACTAGCGCCCTAGCGAACCATGACCAGCCCTGGAGATTCAGGCGCCGACCATCTCTCTATTAAGAAATAACGGGTTAACGTAAGTATTCCACCAACAGAAAGAGTCAAGAAAGTGCAATTTGCCATTGTTTCAAGGGTCTCCGCGAGTTCGAGATGAAGCCGTGTGTCGGCGCAGACCCCATCCCGGTGATGGGCCATGGAAAGTTCCCCACAGGAAAATCTGTTGAAAGCCTTCCAGATGGAAGAAATAGCTCTGGAACCCCCCCCAAAGGACGTTCTAACACGGTGGCTACCTTCCTCAATCCGCAGTTGCTCCCAGGGCCCCTGTATGGCAGTCAAAGGCGACGGTCCAGCATTGAAATCCCTCACCACGCTAGAATTCACGAGAGGCGGAGTGCAGCTATCTTCGAAGGTACTGCTTTTGGAGAGAAAAGAATCCAAGATGCCACATACAGGGCACCTGTTAACAACGCTGGCGATCCCGCACTGTCTATAGTGGGTGACGGAGCGTCACGGAACCATGATCAATCTGCATGCAGCTTCAGTACAAACAGACAAAATACAAGCTGCTACAGAAGGCTTAGCGCAAGTGATAAGTGTACCGGAGATGGCGGTCAGAGCAGCGACCACCGAGGGTCTCGTGCCTACACAGGGACCTCCTCAGGTTGTTCGACCCATGGTACAACCGTGACACAAGGTGGAGACTGGTCCACACCCAGGCCATCCTCTGTTACTGCACCAACCTCACGATCCTGCCACCTTGCTTCCAGAGAGTCGTCCAGCAACAGTAATGATTCAAGCATCGCCTCACGCAACTGTCCGGCTTCAGGCACATCTTCCAAGCACGCCATTCCACATGTCGAAAAACCGGCAGTTCACCGGAATCCGTCAGTCTACAACAAAGGCCAGAAGAGAGCGGGAGGTGTCTCTGCAGGTCGTCGTACGGATCCAGACGCAGCTGTATGCCGCGTTGGACCAAGCCTACCAACTGGTAGAGGACGCCTAGCCCCCTCCACCTTTTTGTTTAGCGCTACGCGCACAAGAGATTCACTGCTAGTCCCTGGAGAGGGGCGTGCATACCACTTGGGTGTCCAGCATGGAGAATTGTACAACAGGATCCTAACAGTTGGACATGCAGGGCGAGCAGACTGGCTAGCTGAACGTTTTCTCGACTCGCAGATGAGAACTTTGTCCTTAAAAAGTAATCGCAACTTCAGACTGCACTCCGGTAAGCTCGCTGTGCCTTGTAGAGAGATATATCGTCAAAAATGCCGTTTCCCCTCATTTATACAATGTGTATCAAGGCATCAATGTGGTGCTGCCACTCACGCAGCCGCCTCCGTTTCGCAGAGGTGAATGTGGTGCAACGCTTTCTGTTCAATAGACACGGATGTGAATTGCGAGCCAGTATGAAGGTTTGTAGGATAATGAAGGCTGCCAACCTTGCCAACTAAATGCAACTCTAGCCACAATTCATAGAGCACGGACGAAAAAGCCATGCCCATTTCTTATCAGGGTTCTACAAGAATAAACCGGTATCTATCGTCTCCATTGGTATGGGGGCACCCATGATGGACGTGCTGGTTAGGGAAGCCTCCTACCTCACGGATGGCCCTTTAGCAATCGTCAGACTTGGTATTTCTATGAAATTGTCCTACATTTCAAAGTTGGCGCAGCACAGGCATAAAAGACATAACAACGTTTGTAGCACGTTTGTAGCATTTTGCCCCGCACCGTAGAACAAAAGGCGCACACACGTAGTAGCACGTAAACATACTCCGAAGCAGTTGAACAGGCAGTTGCGCCACGCAGACAAGTGTCTGCAGCCAACAGCTATCAATTGTTTCTCCCGATGCTGGTTCTGGCGTAGCTGCGAGTTTGTACACCAGGCACAAATAGGTAAAGCAGCTCTCTTCTATCGAGGTGCTGGTGATGCCGACACTGTGGCATTCGTTGTCTCAGGCACCTGCACCTTGCTGGACCAAGACCTTAGACCAGGGTCAATCGTTGTTGCATCCCCGGGATCACTGGGCTGCTACACGAACTACGCGTTTTTCGATGGAACTGCTGCAGATTATTCACGGACTCAAGGTGACTTTTCATGTCGAAGTAGCGGCCACTGCGGTTCGTAGGCAGTAGAGACTGAATGCGTAGTTGTCTGCTAGCATTTCATTCCACCGCCCTATCGTGTCCCCGTTAAAGGCCAGTTATCCCTTCACACTTATACAGTGAAAGGGGGGTAAGTATGACGCGAAAGGGGAATTGCTTCTAGGAAGAGATGGCAGCGCGACCAGGAATATCCACGGCGATGTGCGGCGTGGTGCTTGTAGAGATGAAGCCCTACATTATTACAAGGCCTTGCGCAGCCGACCCGGAGCTCTCAAGGTGCGAATTCGCCCCTCCTTGATTTCAGCTATATTCACTCGAGCTTCTGGGGCATCGTGAAGAGTGTCTTCATATTTTGTTCTTGTCCACCTACTTTCCACAGGCTTATATACCGGCATGTTGCAGCTCACGATCCGGAATCTGTCTTCGAAGGTCAGTTACGAAGCTTAAAGCACGCAGTCCAATTTCCGGAGTATATCGGTAAAATGTATGCAGGCGTGCATTTAGGATGCACGCCTGCATATCAGCAACATAACTCTATGAATACTGCTGTTTTGACCACCAACCTCTCCCGATTCACTTTGTCGAGTATCGGGGGATGCATGTTTCGCAGGACTGAACGTATCAGCAGAGACTTTCTACAGCTGCCAGGCGCGTGAAGATCAGCTGTTTCGGGTACGCTGACCATACCATACTGTGATGGAGCACCACTCTGCTGCTATCTATTGTACGGCATACTGTAGCATCGCATCAGATGCAGAGAGTACAACAAACTATAGGGAGAAGCGCTGAATGTTTGACTTCCGGACATAGGATGAAAACGAGAACCTTTTGGAAACGCTGCTGCTTTGCGGCGCCCAAACAATGGAAATGGAAACCCATCAGCTTCTCCACTTAGCATCCAGAAGAGTGGAGCTCATGAAGGCAGCAGCAGTCCACATTGGAGTGACCAGCCGAACAAACGACCAGTTTATGCATCCTATCACTGTAGGAAACTATTGCGGTTCAGCTTTCGCTGGTCCTTCGCCTTCTTCTCCCAGATGCCCTTATGAACACTGTAGTGCTAGTATGCATGGCATGATGCTAGTCTGCATGGCATGATGCGCGTTCCACTGGAGCCCTGTCACTTTGGCGCACATGAAAATTTCATAGTGTGCGTCAAGAGACGCATCGAGTACAAGCAGGCCGGTCTCTCTCGATGGGAGCTTTGCAATGAATCGTCCGTCTCTGTGTTGTGCTTCAGCCTGCCCAGTTGAACGAGCTTGTAGCCGTAGCGGGAAAAGCCTGTCTGGACGCTCTCGTTGACGTAGCGATATGACGGCTGCACAGGACTGCTGTAAGCAATAACCGTCAGAGTACTTAATAGCCGTTGACAATAGACACTCAGTGGAAGGGGCAAAATGAAGATAAATGAAGGTATGTACTTCGAAATAGGCACTAAATGCTTCAAATCCTCCCCTCTACCACGTACAAGAAATTTCAAATTGGAGGTGCGCGGTGCGAAGGAAGAATATCATAAAGCGCAGTTGCATCAGGGGTTAGAACAAATCTCGCCGAGCCATTCAACGTCCTTCATTGCTCCTGCAGAAACCATTTTACGTGCCGCACGGCTCATCTGCAAACACAATGTTCCTTCCCGGAAGTAGGGCGAGTACAGGATAGTGCATCATTGCTTTTTGCTCATACACAATATAAAGTCTAAGCCCTATTTCACTTTTCCCTACTACTCTCTAGGAACAGCATACTTCATCCCAATTTAAGTGCTCGCCTCCATTTATAACCACAGAATGTCCGCGCCCGGTGCAACGGGCCATAACACGCAGAGAGTATCAAAGGGCCCTAGTAGCAACTTCCCAACGCCCAGAGAAGTAGCACCGTTGTGCCTACCCACCACATCTCATCCATTGCCCTTCAGTGCCAGACGACTGTGAATCCCATCAGAGAAAGAGAACAAATGCTCACGGCCCATTACCACTAGCCGTTCCTGCGAACTCTGGCCCTGTAAAAGTGGGTCGCTCTAGCGCGGAGCATATGGTCCTGACGCCATCTGGGGTGTCTCGGTGCCTGCTTCCCGACGAGGTACGGTGTTAGATGCTTGGGTATGCCTCTGCTCCGTGGCGGAGGCGATGTTAGCGCTTGCTTGTGGCGGGGATTCGCGTTGCAGTCCACACCAAGGATTGGAACGTGCCACCGCCGAACCACGTAGCGGCAACTGCTGCAAAGCAGCTCAAGGACACCACGATGCCACATACGACGAATGGGGCTAGTAGCCGGTACAAGACGCTGGTGTACACGTGGTGCACCACATATCGGTGTACCTGCCGCGTTTGTCCGATGTGCGTCTGAGTTGGAATCTACTTGCGTATCTCCAGAATCTCCGTTCAGCGCACCCCTATCCGGCTGTCCTCGAGATGCCTTGTACTCTGAGATGAAGCTGCCATATGGGGAATTACCAGCTGGTGAACCAACAGGGCAAAGTACAGCAACGGGGCATCCCCCAGGCGCAGTGCTCCTCGCCAATCCAAATGACGCGAGATGGCTGGCAGGGACGTTTGCAACGGCCTGTGAGTGTAAGAGACAAGTGTCGTGCAAAGAATACTGCAAAACGGATGGCTCGTCATGGTGAGTGGTTGCACGCCACCCCTCCAGATTCTGGCGTGTGCTACTGTAGAAGGCCTTGGTAGCTGCAGTTAGGAAGCTTGAAGTCCGGCCCCAAGCGATGGAATAATTCTTCCACAGCACTATCCGCTGTGCATGATGAAGAGCCACCGCAAACACCTTCTTCGTCTCCCACATGGCAATCGATAGTTCAACTGGGCACTGCAGGCGCCTTGGTGCCGGCCGCAGCACCTAACCTGGAAACCAGCAATTCAATCGACTGCAAGAAGTTCATTTCCTACATGAAACATCCTATTGCATCAGGAAGAAATACACCTAATCCCCTTCCTGGTAACCAGGAGCGCCAAACGCGGCACAGACACTCAGGCACGGTGCTCTGGGGGCTTGACGTTCAACGGCACCCCATTGCGGTCGGCGGCGAGGAGAAATGATGCTTTCCCCTTTCGTTAGAGAATTATTTTTGTATGTCTCACTAATTCCAAGTGGGAATACATTGCCTATGAGCCCTGATCACCGGGGGCGTTGTATCCGGCACGTGGCCACGAGCTCCCGCCGCTGCTGAAATGAAGACGACTTGCGCAATTAGCCCTTTCTGGCGTCGTCTTTATTGCTGACTCCTGCAGAACCATCTGCATGCTCTGAAAGGGAAAGGATAAGTTCAAAAGTGCCAGTATTCATTCCTTCCGAGCCCGGTGAGGAGCTCGTGGACGGGTGTGCTAGCGCTCCAGGCGCGTATCCTAGCTGGGGAACGCGTCTGAGTGCCTCACGTTTCACGTTGTGATTCGATCGAACAAGAGGTGTGGTTTATACGTGTGAAAAGGGAGGTCTTATAGGGAGCTCCAGGACAACAAACCCCCTTGCAGCAGGAGGCAAACCATAACGTGTACCTGGCATTTGTATGCATCGGAGAGGTCGTCACACTCTCCTGCGGAGGTATTCTGAGTTGGGTGGACCCCTCCTCACACGCAGACGCCTGCAGCACAATGAAGGGGGTTTTTGGGCACTACTTGACGCCAGCTGGCGTGGCAAGTCTACACAAATACGCCTACGTCTCAGGCCATCGTACCCCCTTTGACACCATCATGAATCCATGGTGGGAGGCAGTGGAGAAGTTGGTTCCTCGTTGTGTACACCCGAACGCGTTAACGGTGTCGAGCTGCACTGCAGCCATCATTGGGTCATGCTTGCTTCTCGGTTTCTGCCCCTATCTTTCCGAGTTCCCTCCCCGTTGGGTCTTTCTAATCTCGGCAGCCCTCTTCTTCTTGTACCAGACTTTAGATGCAATCGACGGGAAGCATGCACGCCGCCTGGGCCTCTCCTCTCCTCTAGGCCAGCTGATGGACCACGGGTGTGATATCATCTGCACCACCCCGCTGACGCTGCTGGGGACGGCTATCATCGGAGGGGGAGTGGGATTGCGGCAGTACACGGTTTTGGTCGTCTCCTCTCAGTTCCTTCAGTTTCTGTACACCGTAAGTACAAGTTAACCCATGCACCGCTCGCTCAGTCTTTGTTTCTTACGAATCCAAATTACCTATCGAGCTGCGTACTGCTCGTAACCTCTTTGACAGTCCCGGTGACAGGCCCGGTGTTTTTTCTTGTATGCAGTGGTGGGAACTGCACTTCGGCGTCTTCTATACTGCCACTGGCATCATTGGTGTGACGGAAGCTCAGCTTACGGTAAGGATTCTGTTTAATGCGTGCATAGAACTGGATGCACACTACTAACCAATGGCTATGCTGGTCAGACACTCAAGCCTTTAGCTATTGGAACGAGTCTAACTGAGCGTCCGCCCAGATGGGGGTTTGTTGGAGTGTACGATAAGCTACAAAAGGGGAATTGTGGATGCTTCTTTCTGAAAGCACTGAAAGTGCAGTTGCTCTTGAGGCTTCTCATATTTGTTGCACAACAGGTCATACTCCTCTCTGTACTGGGTGGGACTTTTGGCCCCGAGATGTACCATATAGATCTTCTTCAGTATATTCCGCCTGAAATTGGGTGCGTCACAGCATTCTCGGTTCTCGCTAGCTTCTGAGGTGAATCATATGCGTAGTTCATACCCCCTAGTTGTTCGCTCTGCAGAACTCCTTGCAAGTTCTTGCCAGACCATTTTGTGTGCAGGATACCCCTGGCGAAACTCGCGGGAGCAGCTGGATTGAGTATTACGGCGAGTGTAGTATTCCAGCTGATGTTGCTGGCCTGGTGAGTCTTCATTGTGCCCTCGCACCAGCAGCAACATTGCATAAGTGGGCAACTTTAGATACATTTCCAGCATTTCAAGGCGCATCCCCTGAGTCTTTTGCCTTTACTGCTTTTGCAGCAACTCGATGCTCTGCATTCTGAACATTGTTATGGGAGTCCGGCGGGCACCGCAACCGCTGGTGGCCCTTACCCAGGTGGTCATGTTCTTGGTGTACATCTTCGTCCAGGGAGTTGTCTACATGCACTGTGAGAAGCTCATTTAATTCCAGCATGTGGTTGGGTTGAACTTCACATTCAAGCATTGTTTGCTGCTGATGTCATTCACCAGACATGCGTACTTGCCTAGTGAGAGGTGTGTGTGTTTGTGCGGCTGTCTATTTTTGCCTTGCAGGCTTGGTGTGGCGGCCCATTTTGAACCCATACCTGGTGTACACTGCAATTTGCTCCACATACTCAATACTGCTGCTGCGCATTTGCTTGTCAGCGACCTGCCGCATCCCCTACAAATTTGTGCAATGGCCAATGCTGCCGCTGGCGGCAGTTGCTGCTGCACTTAGACTGGGTAATCTGACAGAGAATCAGGAGTTCTGGGCGCTCTTGGTGAGTAAAGGGCATCAGGGGGCATCCGTGAACCCCCTTGTACTGCCGTATTTAGAGTTCGCCTACGGGTCTTTACACAGTTTTCCTGTGCTGCCCGCTGCTTGTGCTGCTTGCAGGCTGCGTGCCTCTTCAACGGCGTGTATCTCATGGATTTCGTGTACACGGCGGTGTCTGACGTGTGCGATGGGTTAAATATAACGTGTTTTACAGTCCCGGAGACGGGGAATTCACAGGCCCCCTCGAAATCATCGAGGGAGGCGAAGAAGGCAGACTAGCCATGAACTCCCAATTTTTATGGCGCTAAATATTTAGGAACAAACAATAATACCGTTGGTTGCTTCTCCGTATATATCGAACCACTGTATCCAGTAGCCAACTTGCCTTTCGATGTCCTATCAATACTACAGCTACTACATATGTCGACCGTAGACGTAAAATTGAGCGAACGAACGCTTCCCACGTTGAGCTGCGTACATCGCGTGCACCCTATAGAGAAGACGAGCGGCGAGTAACAACCGAAACCCTTCCAGCAGTCCACAAGCTGCAGCTACACACTAGCCGTAAGGGTATTAGGCAAACCCCTTACTCGTCTAATAACCAGCAAGTCGAATACTGAGAAGACGTCACCCTACCGAGAAAACTGCAACACTTGCTGAGTAACTACACAACACAATCTACACAGTGTGTACACAGCAAAGCACTTACACGAGAGACGCCACGTAGCACACAACAATCCACACAAATTGCGTTTCTGTTAACCCCGAAGGGTCGGGTGGATGCGCCGACCCTGCCGAGTAGTGTAAGGGCAGGACAACGCTTGAGGAAGGGCTGAGCAAGCTCAGTTCCCTATCCTCTCCAAACAAAAATTGATGTGACATAATTGGGTCCAGTTGGACCCATATCAGTTGTCACACTGATAAGAACAGATACTACACTTGATCATAGCCAAAAGGCCGAGAAGGTATGGCAGTTTAAGTACAGCGGGCCCCCACCCTGGGACTCTTTGGACAGCGAATAAGCCTGGCGTTCGTCACGTCAACAACAGATCTACAATGTTTGTTTCTTATTTTTCCGCCATTAACCTATTTTTTGTCACTGAAAAAAATGATTTGTTTATATATGTGAACTTCGCTGCTGCTCTCAGTCACCTATCAGTCTACGATATGTACCTACAGCACGTGGGCTCGGCGTAACTCCGATTTCCACAAGCTTCCCCACACGGATCCTCCCAAATCAGCTGTGATTCTTAGTATTTTTGTGTTTCTCCTGTTCTAAAGAATTGTCAATTCTTTGGTGTAAGCAATAGATGCTTTGGGAACGTAATTTCCGAGGTTCTTTTTCTCATGGACACTGTATCCGCAACACCCGAGCAAATGGGTGGTGCCCGAGTCTCGAACAAAACCCCAAGTGTAATTCTCTGTAGTAAATTTTACTTCATATTTGTATATCTTATTAATCAGTTCCTATTCTGTACACTGCTATATGAGGGAAGACAACCGAAGTACTACACAACCGCAAGGCGAGCACTCCCGAAGCACGCCGTCCGTGAATTTTATGCATAGATACTTTTATCGTATTTGTTCTCAGTCGTGCTAGTCTTGGGCAAATATTCCAGTATTTTTATTTCTTCAATTAATAAAGTATAATACCCTTTTTTTGTGCTGTGCAAACGAGTTTCATTAAAATTCCGTTAGATATGATTACCGGAGAACGAGATATTATCTATAATGAGAACTTCCGTACCACTACAGTCAAAGCATGGACAAACAACAATCTCTTGTCTGTATTTCAGAGCTTGTTGACGTATGGCCATTATGCCATAGAGTGCCATGAAGGGCTGGCCATCTAACTCAAACAACCACTCTGATGTCTGCCCAAAGTTGGTGTCTCAGAAGCTGGCACCTGAACCTTTACTCGGCAGCCAGCACACAAGCAGAAGCCTCCAGCAACTGCCTATAGTGTTCGTATATTCTGTGGGGTGAAGTTCTATTGTGTCCCCGTCAGGCGGAAGCAATGCCTTAATGAAGATTAAACCATGCCTTTTCCCATCTGTAACTGGGAAATGAGGGCCAGAGTCTATAAAACGATCCTGTGGACAGCTGGGCACCAGAGTATGCGTTTACATATCATTTGAAGTTCCTTGAAGTCATGGCAAACACTCTTTTGGTGTTTATTGGTCCTACTGCAGTATTACATCATATGTGACATCCTAGATTTACTCCTAAACACTAACTTGCCGATGAGCGGTAACCGAAATGTGCACATCGCACCGTTTGATGCTGCAGTTGATGGTAGGAGAGTTCGGCCAGCCTTTACCGCCTGAATGACAATTTAGAACTGTGCAGGCAAATTCCTGGTCTTGCGTTTATTTGTACTGCATGCATTTAACTGCTTTGTTTTAGAGACGATCTCCAAGTAATGCGAATGAGAAGTGGAAATGTGCCAATATACATGTATAAGCCATAAAGCCATGGCTCGTGTATCGCATAGAGCTACATTTTAGCTTGCTACAGATCCCGCAATATTTCTATGTGGAGTTGGTCAAAATGGGGTTTTCTTCGTTTGCTGGCCTTTTTTCGTGTGCTCGATCGAATCCTTGGACTACCGAAGTACTAGCCTGTTCCTAATTGACGATTCGTTCCACTTCTGTTTCCCTGATTACGGAGCTAAGCGACTCAATATGCCAGAGCCAGCGAACAGAAATATGAATCCTGCTACGTTTCTGTGGAATTTCCATATGCAAACGCGCCCTGAGCTGGCCACTCGCTCCGACAGACTTTATAATGCCGAATGCTCTCCTAAGGCCTCAAAATGTCAAGAATACTGGAACTCTTGTGTGGAGTACAGGATCTCTATATTTATGGATGCAGGCAGGCCTGCTTCAGACCTCCATCGTGAGCTGCAGGAAAGTCAAAATGCCCTAAGAATTTTATTTAGGTAGCTGACCTCCACTCCTACTTCCACGACACGGGTTCAAATGCTCATAAGGGTATTTAGCTGATACAGAGGGAAGGCTGCCTTCTGCGAGTTATAGCAATCCTTGCCACAACTCCTGCTGCACGGCAGCCCACCCATAGCAACAGGTCACGATGACCCTTTTTGCCACCAGCAGTAACACTACAGATGATTGGTAAACGCTTAACTGGCCCTCAATTGCCAGACTGCATGCATGCAGAAACGCAGCTACCACCTTCAGAACATGTTTCAACGCGTTTTCATCGCTCCAAAAGCCTGAGCCCACAGCGACTACTCCAGAGAAAGCTGTCTCTCACTAAAACTGCATTGAGTACGCGTAAAATTCAAACAACACGTACGAATCCACACTGAGCACTACTGCAAAGGAGCTCAAGCAATGCTGAATGAGAGCAAAATAACAAGAGAGTTCTTCAAGGTCTCCTCAGCCACTAGCGTGTGCGCCGGGCTAGACAAACTTCCTGGAGGTTGTAGGGGAGAGTTAATATACATATAATGAACATTTTGGCAATTGACTGCTTAAGATGAGGCAGCCGTTCAGATGAATGCATAGTATGTCGTGTACTCGAAAAGAGTGCATGCACGCAGCCAGCCCCAAAACTCGGTGGGTGCGGGGCCGCGTCAAATGGCTCCGCTGGCTCTACCTTCTACATGCAACTGATGGCAGGAGCTTGAGAATTTGTCGCATCTCTGGTGGTCAGGGATCAGTTTGCGGGGTAATTCTGGGAAAATTAGAACGAAGCAACGTCACACGCCCGCCGTCACAGTAAGTCTTACGCCGCCATTGGGGGCCCTGTGGGGGAGGGTGGAAGGGGCATGGGTTTCTTTCTTGGCTTTTATAGCGGTTCCCTTAATTATAATATAACAGAGGACGTAATTTCTGAAGTCTGAGCAGCCAAGAAGGTCACCTCCTAGCCGCGCAGCCCTTCGGCATGCCCCGCCTGTTTAGAGGTGCTGCTCGACATTGCTGGTTGCGAAGGAGTGTCTGAGTGTCGCAGCTTTTTTTTTGTGCTTTTCTTAAATAGGTACAGAGAGGGACGGCATGTAGGCAACAATCACATATTTTGTGTGATCGTCTGTACACGTGATGTGCTTTGCTGCAGATGGCTCCCGTCTCAAGCGTGAAGCGCACCATCGTCAAGAAGCGCACGAAGCGCTTCAACCGCTTCCAGTCGGACAGATATAAACGTCTGAGTGTAAGTTCCTCTTCAGATGTGGTATTGGTTTCCTGCGGCTCCCCCTGTATACCTCTCCAGTGACTGCACATGGATAGGGGTGTGATGGTCCTGGGGCAGCGCATGTTTCTCAATGCATGCCATGTGCTTGAGTTCGGTTTGGCCGTTTGTGCTCAGTCGTCATGGAGGAAGCCCAAAGGTATTGACTGCCGCGTGCGCCGCAAGTTCAAGGGCACCAACCTGATGCCCAACATCGGCTATGGGTCGAACAAGAAGACTCGCCACATGCTGAGGAACGGCTTCTACAAGTTCCGCGTCGAAAGACCTCAGGACATTGACATGTTGTTGATGCACAACACAAAGTTCGCTGCAGAAATCGCTTCCGGGGTTTCTTCCAGGAAGAGGAGAGAAATCATTGAGAGGGCAGAACAGTTCAATGTCCTCGTCCTCAACAAGTCCGCAAGACTCAACTCAACTGAGGACGAGTAAATGTGCAGCTAGGCTGCAGTTTTGTGGCGTTGGCTGAAATGAGGTCTCATCGCCTCCCCAAATCTCCGTCAGGCGAGGCGGGGGCCCTCGGGACTTTTTTTCAGCCTTTCGGGCCGACCTTCCGGGTTAAGTTGTGACATTTGTATTTAAAGTTGTTCGCACCACTACCCCCTATATAATTTTGCAGGTCATGGTGGAACCATTTGATTGGGGAATCGTAGAGACTAGATAACCCACTGGCCATACTGAAATAAACGTGAATAGGTGGGCTTTAAAGCCACTAGTTGACCCCCCAGACGTCCAGTGCAGGAAGATGTAGGCATTTGTAGAAGAGCGTTAGTTAGGCGTATGTGTGAAGTTAGCGGTACACTGTCAGATGAAACATAGCCTCCTAGAGTACTCTCGAAGTTGCCGGGGAGGTCCAGCATTTTTGCAACAATTGAACAGAAAGACGCAAGAATGCGCCGCCAGTTCCACGTATTTCCCAGCTTAACTATGTGCTGAAGTAGAGCTACTTTGTATTTTCCCATTTTTGAAACCGAGGGAAATGTCATTAGAATGTCAAGACACTGGAGGATTTCCATATGCTAAGAGCATGGAAAGGGCCAGTGCAACTTGGAGGGATGCAGCGGCGTTTCGTGGACTTTTGCAGTGCAAAGATGCTTAGCAACATCATAATAATTGCTATTGGGGCGTGTTTTGCTGGAGTGCACGGAAATGATGGCTGGTGCAAAGCATCACCACAAGCGGGACTTCCCGATTATGCACGTTGCCTTCCGCCTGAACAGGCGGTAGCGCGCTATGTGTTGGAGGTGGCGCCGCTTGTTGGATTTGGCTTGGAAACAAAGTACGAGAGATTTATAATGCGTGCGCCTGACTTTTAAATGCATTGGGGATGTCTAGAAGCGACGTTAAGCTCATTTTGGAGGGGTCTAACGGCCGTCGTACAAAACCGATTGTAATTGCAACCGTTGGCGGTGGAACCAGCAAACGGTAAGGAATGCTTCCTCACTTTGTACCCCATTTTCCTCTTTATTTGGATGCATCTCCCCAGAGTCACAGCAGATCGCGTTGACGTGAGCAGCCCCGAAGTCATTCATGCTTACCTCACCAGTCCGACTGCATGGTCATGCCGCCAAATAACTGTTTGGAAAGACTTTCGCTATTGGATCTTTGATTGTGGAGAGGCGCTATCTCCTCTTTCTCCTGAAGGCGTGAGAAACCTTATCGTGACTAGCAGGTAAAACACAGGTTCACGTATTTGTCGAGTGCAGTCTTTTGCACTATCGGGAAGCAAAGTGTACGAATTGACGGTTCTAACCGGAACGGACCCCAAAAGCAAGTTGTGTGTTTCATTCTTATTAGACTTGCGCCAATCTAATGCAAACCCTTAAAGGTAACCTCCACCCACGAGCGCGGATTTCATTAGTTGGTTCTTCACGCACTTCCGGGCCGAAGGTGTTGGAGGGCAGTTTTCCCCCTGGAAGCAACCGTGTGATCCGCCTGCAATCTGCCGACGGTGAGGTGCCGCTGTTTAATACAAGGATATATGATCAGATCCTTCATTTTCCCCTTTCAGTCGGCTCTCTGCAAGCTGTGGTCCTCAGAAACGATTCGCCTGTATCTCCTTGGTTCTGCAGGCACATAACAATCCGTGCAGACGGCAACATCGCCAGCTTCAAAGTCGCGAGATGGATAGGAGCCCCGTATGAATCATCTGTTTATATTCCTCGATATCCGTCTGGGCTGGAGTTGACACCACAAGACATCGACTGCCACACGCGTGCTGCTGACGTCTTTGAAGGGTATTAGCAAAATTGGAGTTACACACAAGGCGCAACATGTAAATATATCCCTCGTTTGCAGGAAGCCAAGCGCCGTCAACGCTGCAAAGGTCCACTGCCCCATGAACTGTCAAGCTTCCGAGTTCGCCCACACAAAAGGGGCTTCGCTGCACCCGGCGCCTTCGTCAATATGCACAGCCGCCATCCTCGATGGTCTTATGACTCCCTCAGGAGGCGACCTGGTGGTGACCGCTGTAGGGCCAGTGGAGCAGTACACGGGAATTACGTACAACAGTATGTTGAAATCAACTCTAGACATATGAAGGACAGCTGCAACGGCAATACAATTTCTTTCAGGCATTGACTCTGTAGACTTCTCCTACTTCCCTGAAAGGAAACAATACAGCTTCCACATGTATCTTGTCGGTATGAATACTATCTGGCAGCGCCTTTCCCAACAGCTGCGACATTATCATCTATTCCCATCAGATTCTATTGATCTAATCGAGACAGCAGTCCGCGTTGTCAACGGTAGGCAGTTTCCTCACCATATAACTAGAGCGTCTAAAAAATATTCACACTTAAAGAGTTCGGGAAACTTTCATCTGTTGGACGTCTAGAGGTGAAGACTGGCTCACTTTGGGGAAGCGTTTGGTGCGGATGCATTCGCTTGAACATCTGGCTAATATTACATCCGCTGCTAATTCCCCTTCAGTAACAAAGGCGACTACTTGACGTTTGCGCCGCAGTCGGCGTTGAAAGCTTGCCAAGAGCTCGGTAGTCGTTGCCTTTTCCCTTCAGTACATCTTGTGCCTTATTCCCTTCCTTTGTTAATGATATTTCAGGATTCAAAACGGGCGTGTTGCTGCTTGACGGCTGCAAAGATGTGGAAGGTGCCAACGTATGCGCCGACAAGGGGTATCCTGTGGCAAGCGCTGGTTAGGATTTTGTTTTTCTGATGTAGTCTATACAATTTACCGCATATCACATATTACACCTTTAGGCATCACTGTAAGAGCGTCTTCAAAGCTCGCACGCACTGACCCAACAAACCACCTGATTTGCTCTTAGTGCAGCGGAAGTGAGACCGTTCTGGAGGAGTGCGCTGCTGAGAAGCCTCCAGATACCTGCATGGAACACACGGACGATGTGGCTATCAAGTGCACCAACTTGCTCGCTGGCGTAGAGCCTGAGGCAGGCACTATTCGTATCGTGGGTCCCACAGGGACGCCGGCCGTATCAGGTCTTGGCCGATTGCAGTTTTTCAACAAAGGTCTGTTCGGTCTTACGCATGCCGTGACGAGCTTCTCTACTCATGATCGATGAGAGGACTCTGTCAATCCACCGTATCCTCTTCTTCAACCATTCATTACATATCGGGTGCAGGTTTCGGTAGCGTCTGTTCAGAAGGGTGGAGTATTAAGTCCGAGCAGGTTGCCTGCAGGCAGCTAGGGTACAATAACGTGAAGGTACATAGGGTGCAACGCTAACTACTCTAACGCCTATGGTTTATTGCTGTATCCCTCAGGATAAAGGCCCTGGTAACGATACCTGCACCAGCATCCTTGGGCAGAACTACTGTGGACCGGAGCAGGAGAATATTGCTGCTGTCAATTTCTCCTGTACAGGTTCGCTGGTTGCACGTTTTCCTTTTCTCTATGCAATTTGTTTACTTGTGAACGTTCAGGCAGAGAGGCCTCTCTTAACCAGTGCCCCCATGCTGTTGGTGATGATATATACTGCGTCCATGCTGAAGACGTGGTGATTGCATGCGAAGGAGACGGAGACCCCTCCGGCGTTGGGGCATTTCACAAAGAGGAAGCAGTTGTTCAAAAGAAGCGGTTCCTTTCCTTGATTCCTCTCACATGCTTCGACAGTCTCGAGACGAGGCATGGATTAGGCGGCCCACCTGGCACCATGCATTTAGTCTCGTGTCCTCCAAATTGCAGGTAAGTAGAAGGAGAATGTTGCAGGTAGCACCAGCTGGATGCCATCAGTTCTTTCTCACAGCTCTGCAGGAGGCAAACTGAAGGGGGCATACATCTACACTGGAAGCTCCGCAGTAGGCTAAACCCCCTTCTACCCCAACCAGTCATCTTCCCCCTCCTATGCAGAAAGCAAACTGTGAAAACCAGATATGTCTTGCAGCGATTCACAGTGGGACAAACACCCAAGAGGGCGGCGAATGCCTCTTAGTCATTGGACACGGACAGCACCACTTCTCAGCCTTGGAGGGCCACGGGATACAGAGCGAAGAAAGCGGCGCCTACCCAAGATCATGTCAGTAACTGCACATTTGCATGCATCACGAGTTTTCAAGAGCCAAAGGGTGCATCTCCGAAATACATGCCCAACTTCCTTCAGTCACAACTGCGAAAGTCGACCACTCCGTCCACAGCCTGGTGGTCTTGAGTCGCAGCAATGCGCTGTTGCAGTCAACAGCTGTATCTCTCCCACAGCCAACTGGAGGCGCAGCTCCCCAAACACAGCCCTCTGGTCTCCAGTCCGCTGCGCCTGCTGCTGCACCTGCTGCTGCTGCTGTTCCTGCTGCTCCTGGCGCTGTGAATTCCGCAGCAGCTGCTGCACCTTCCCCTACAGCCCCTGGCGCTGGCGCTGCTAACAATGCCCAACGAAGCACAGCAACACAGGGCGGCGCTGTTGCTTCTCCTTTAAATCGCAATGCATTCTTCAACTCTAGCGGGGGCATGACTCTGCAGGCAACGCGAGGAAAAACACGCTGGACCAGCACCATTAAAAGGCCAAAAGCTGCGCTGCACAGCGACAACGCAGGCGACGATGGCGCCGGCACACACCTGCAGTTGTCCTTTCCCTCAGTAGATGAAGTCCGCAGCCCGTGGACTACAATAGACGATCGACGGGGTGTTGCAAGTCAGTAATTTGTTGTTAAAGGAGGCCGCGCTTCGTGCTAAATGTCTGCATTCACAAACAGCAGAAGCAGCAGAACTTCCATCGCAGAAAGCCTCTGCATGGCAGCCGTACCCGCGAATGATGAAAATTCAAGCATCACCTGCTTTCCGTCCTGAAGACATTTTTCGCTGGTTTCCACCTGAGGGATTCAAAGGTAGTGCAACGGAATGCTGTCGCTGGGCACAACAATAATAAACGTAGAAAAGAGATAATATTCGACATAATAAGGACACTAAAAATGTGTCCTATAATAGTACGGAGCATTATCGTCAACACGCACAGGGTTTCACGGGAATGCGGCGGACTACGTGGATACCTCCATTTTGGCTGGTGGCCATCGCGTGTCATCAATAAGGGACTTCACCGTGGCAGTACGCGCCGTGGTCACAGGTACGGTATTAGCTGCAGCAGCAAACATTACACACTGATCTCATCATGAAGTCCGTTGTACGTAACTCTGTCTAACAGGAGGGGAAGGACAGTGGCGGACGCTGCTGGCCCACAGTGACTGTGACGGGTTCTCGCTTGTTGTCGACCCAGATGGGGAACTCATTTTTGAACAGACCTGTCATCCCCGGCAGATCAAGTCGGGCTTTAAACCCAAGTTAGGAGGTAAAGTGGAGGCGAGACATAAACCATCGCTCGGTTGATCATGCAAAAAACATTTTAGAAAAATTCGATGCTGCTGCCACATTCTCTACTGCCACTCAATTAATACAACTCTTCGTGAATGGAAAGCCGGTGGCGTCGGAGCCAGCGGACTTCGAGATCAATTTGAGGGTGAGCTGCAATTGTAGTTGTACGAGCTTTCATAATCATGCATACCACCCTCTGTCGCTGCAGGGTCGCATGATTATCGGGAGAGCCAGTGCAGCAGAAGCCGATTACTTTGAAGGGGATATTTTGGGCGTTAAAGTGTTCAACCAGGAAGCCCCAGTAACGACGATACGGGATGCTTTTGCTCCCGAGACGCTTGCAGCTCATGCTCCCCAGGCGCCAAGCGAAAGCAGGCGCACAGACGACGGGCGTTTGTGTCTTTCTCCTTGCTCTTTGCAGGGGCCCCTGTGGGCAGCTGCAGCAGCAGCCGCTGCTGCAGCCAAGCCGACAAAGCCCGCAGTATCATTGTCTTGCACGGACAGTCTGCGTCGTGCCGACTTTAATGGACACATCGGCCAGAAGTTTTTGGCAATCTGTCCTCCTGACTGTCTGCATGCCAACGCACCTCTCGAAGGCTGCAATCTCTTCACCGCCGGGAGCTCCATTTGCAAAGCTTCTCTGCATTCAGGTGCAGTGCCGAAGGAAGGGGGTGAGGTGCTGCTGACTGTCACCGAAGGCCTGGAGTTCTACGATGCCTCTCAGGGGCACTTCGGTAAGCAGTCGTTTATTGGATTACAGGGAATTGATGTTACTTGCAAACATGCATTCTATTCCGCTCCCTCCAGGTATCCACAGTACACAGAGCACAGGACCGGAGCTGCGGTCGTTCTCTGTGGAGGCTGCTCCTCCTTTCAGGACTCTTTCGTGCGACACAAATGCAACTTTCAGTTTAAAATTGGGAGTGGGAGAACGCGAACTCGTTGTCTGTCCGGCGGGCTGTTTGGCACACAGCAGCGCCCGGGTGTATGGGAGCGGTGGGTCCAAACACATATATACTCTATAAGCACTACAGCCCTCATATACTACCTTTGAATACTTCAATTACAGGGTTTTACAGTCCTCTTTCTTCTGTTTGTCGCGCCGCTATACACTCTGGAGCTCTGGTAAGCTGATGGGTAACAATAATACTGCAGTATACAACAATAGTAAATACGCGAATACACAAATATTCATTACACAATATTGTCTGCAGAACGATTCCGGGGGAGAGGTTGAGATAATTGAATCGAAAGCCCGCCATCGTTTCTCAGGCAGTGCATCTCATGGAGTTGAATCCGAATCAAGCGGCGAATACATTCGCTCCTTTTTGTTTGCTGTGACCCCTTCTGTTACGAGTAGCACTGAAGGTGTCTCAGCAGGTGTGTCAACAGCAGCACCATGATAATCTTATATGGATTCAATCCATCCTTGTATACAACGGACAGCAAATTCGTTCTTTCCCCTTCTCTTCTACCCCTGCAGCTCCTCCACCTATTCAACTTTATGACCAGAAATCATCAGCACAGCTAACGCCAAGTCCTGCCTGTGACTATAACAATAACTCTTGGTTAACAAACTGGAAAAATGCCATGGGTCTGAGGGAATCAATACAAATCCCCATCTTCAATCGTATATACACTGTCACTCGAGTGCGAGATGCATGCACACAATATATATATATATATATATATA